TGTGACTTTTAAGTTACGATGAGTGTATTGATTTTCATTTTTTAAACAAAATTTTCACCTCACACTGAAAATAGGTGCGGAGTATTCTATGGAAATTTATAGCAAGCGCTATTCATTCATGCAAATGCAATTAATTAATCAATGGCAAGCGTTCGCTTGCTATTTTACTTTGTTTATCCATGTGACGCCCTCTCTGCGAGAGTTCCACATCGCCAGACGACGTTTATGGGAAAACAAAACAATAATCAAAAGGGGGTTTCCCTCCTGCGTGTTGCTCGTTATGGGTAAATGGTTCGGCTAATGCTAAACCGACAGCGTTGAACAATCGCGGGCAAATTGACAGGCACCTATGCATGCCTAACCAGGTGCTTAACTGCACAATGAACGGAGTAATTGTGTTCGGCTCTGCCCGTTTGAATCGAGTTATTGAATATGCAGTGTCGCTGCATTGAAGGCTGATGGTTTAAATTAGCACCCGTGTAATCAGAAAAATGATTAACATGTCTACCGCCGCATAAAATACAACCGTAAGGTGCTGTTGTGTTTTTAAGCTTAGGCGCGGCAATACTATTTATTCTATGATTACGCGCGTAAACACAACATATTTATGGAAAGCAAGCAAATGCCCAATTTTATATTCATTAGTCATGTTTAGCGGCACACTCATTTGTAAAGGGCGTTAGATGAGACTGCAGTCTTTTATGTGATGATTATTTTATCCTTCAGCTTTGTACACTTTGTTATTTAATCATTGCTTCGTCTGCCTTTGTTGCCTTTTTCTGGGAATAACTAAGAGAAATTAAAATGACAACACCTCAATTTGCATGGCCTAATGTGCCAACAACTGTGATCCGTGTAACGGCTACGTGAAACCCAGACAAGCTGAGGTTGGTTTGATGTCTCGCCGTCAGAGAGCGACCTAAACCCTTTAAGGAGAACACACACGGAGCATCCTCTGTCCAAATCGCACGGTCTCCCATCGCATTTTTCACACTTGCCAAAATTCCGGCTAAGTTAATCAACCACTAAAATGTAATAATCTGGTTTCTCTACCCGTCATGAAAAATTTGCACTTTTCAATTAGCGATGCCACGCTATTGATGAGTCCTGTGCTGCGGTGTCCGGCGCCGAATGAATTCAGAATAATAAATGATTTAAACAAGAGATGGTTCATACTCTTTGGGTCTTTCGTGACCTAAAGAGTATGAATTCCTGCCGTCACGAAAGCTTCAAGTCCAAGATTTAAGAGATGGTTCATTTTGCTGATTTATTTTGAGAAAAATTACTGATATTTTGCAGCGCCTTACAGCCATAACAGCCAATGACTATCACCACGATCGTCAGCCATGGTCAGTCCACCGCTGGATGAAAGCCTCCCCAAGTTTACACCATCTCTCCAACGTTCGTGCATGGTCATTCACTTTGCACCTGCACACTGATTTTATCGCTCCATTTCCTCAGAGGACGTGCTGTTGAATGCAATTATATTCCTTCACTGACACTCCGCCAGTATTCTTCGCGACCGGATGTCATTTGTTCAAGCTACGTGTTCCGAAAAAGCCCAATTGCATGTCTTATAAGATTAAATTACGTCTTTACTTGTTGCGTACTCTTGAATTTGTGTGTTCCTCTTTCTGTCTCTCGAATGCATTTCAAGCATGCATCTCTCCGTGCTTGTATGTGCACTTTTAATGTTTTGTGAAATGTTAAAGTTTCACAATTGTCATCGACCATGTCTCTGAAACATCTATCATAGCGGGTTGTACACACTGATTAAAAACTTTCGTATTTAGACCCATTGGTACCAAAATGCCATGAGTGCGTTTATGTACGACAACAATCTTGATTAATTAAATAAAATATATGTTTTCAATATACAAACAGCACAATTATATATGGTATGAATAAAGCTTGAGAAAGGACATCAAAGAGTTGCCACCTGTTAGTAATCCCCTTGACAATCTGCAGACTTTAGAAAGCACATTTCGCATATATTTACACAACCTATCATCCCCAAAGAAAACCCATTCCAGTATTTGTATTCTTTTAACACCAGCTCCACTCTCTGGAGTTTCCCCCCTCCCCCACCGACCCCGCATCCCCTTTCTTCGTGTTCATCTCTGAGTTGAAAAAAAACAATTGAATAAGAAAAAGTTCCATATCACAGCAGCGACAGACGGACCGCAGCAAGGCGACTCTTGAGAGCGAGCGTTGTTTGTCACACTGAGCGACGTGGGTCGCGTCCGGCTTGACCACACGGAAATGTGTCAAGGCAGCGGGACTCCGCAGAAACTCACTGTGGAAATGACTTCGAGATGGGCGCAATCACAAGGCACCATCCTACCTCGCTCTTCAGGCAGACACAACACTACCACACTCATGCCGACCGCTTCTGAATGTTGTACCAGTGCAGTACGCGGTGCGCTCTTAACCCTCACGCATGCAATTCCTCCAGTGAAGGGCTGATATTCAAATTTAGACTTGGCTTTGGGTGGATTTCATTGTCTACCAACAGCTGCTCCATCACTTCCAGCGATAGGTCAACATTGGGTGGGGCTTTAGACCCCCATTTAAAATAATTAGCAAAACAATCCACTGTTTTTGTTTCGGAAGCAAACTTCATGTAAGCACGACAGGCACTGCCCGAAGAGGCAAAGGGTTCTTATTTTCGAGCCATACAACAAATGCAATGCATTAGGGCCTCGGATGAGATTAAAACAATATGTTCAAGGTGTAAACCTCAACACACGCATGACAAAATACGTGTATTGTCCGGCACGGTTTGCTATTTAGCCGAGACTATTTTTGTTATTGTAAAAGCAACTGTAGATGGGTTTCGGGGGGTTAACACCCACGATTTCTGGATTGTGTCTCGTTATCTTGGTTTGTTTGTTTTTTCTTTCTATTTTGCACTCCTATCGTGTTTTTGTTTTATTGTTTGTTGCTGTAACTTGCTGACATGCCCATACTGGATAGCTCATCGGATTCCTCTTGCAGTCTCAATAAAGCTTCCGAATTTGTGTCACGAGGGTACATGCCGGGCACGGTGCAGATTCGAACGAAATCCCAAAAGGCTCTTTGTCCATCCGCAGCTTAAAAAAAAAAATCCGACAGCCGTATTAGAAAAATCGTATTTCTTGTGATTAAAATATCAAGCGCTTTTCTTTTTTTTTTGCTAAATGCCTCGCAGGGGGGGCTTAATGAAACAATGGCCCCTGAAATCCAATCAAGAACGTCCACCCCACGCTGTCAGCACCCCGTTGGTGAAGATTCGCGCGCGCAACGGATTCCGCCGGCGCCTTCGGTTTGTGCTGCACAGTAGTCGCGTTTGAGCACTTTTTTTGTTAGTCCATTCCGTGGCATCTGTGCGTGTAACAATTTCGTTTTTTTTTATTCTTATGATTATAATTGAGATAATTTCTTCTGGGAAACGTTTTTGATTGTATATATATAAAAGGCGCTCTCTCTCTCTCTCGCCAGTCAAGATATGCCAAATCAGAGAATGAGAAGGAATGGGAATAATTGTTCTGCGCATAAATGGTCTCTGGCAGATCTGACCCACTTTATGTTTACCTCCCGTGCAGCCGGTACGTTCCCCCACCGTGGGCTGTCGCGGTACACGCGGCCAAATGCGTCGGTCGTGTCCCCCAAAATAACCCGGGCGGCGTTTGCGACCAAATAAAACTGGCTCCGTCGATTCGGCTGTGATGGGACAACGTATCTAATCGGGCAAAGTGGATCACACCGAGCCAATAAAAAGTGAACCTTGGCATTGCGCACCCAACAAGTTCACCGTGCGTGTGCGGCAGCGGACCGGCTCTGGGCCGCTGGCCCCATGCCCTGGCCTTCCTTCATCAACCTGCACTGAGCAGCGTGATGACAGTGCGGTCAAACAACCTCCTTGACCAAGAGACATGGGGAGGCCTTCATCCCGCAGTGAACTGACAAGGGGCGAAACCGTGGTCATTACCCTTATTTTTAAATGGAATATGTATAAAGGTGATGACTGAGAACAAAATATTGTTTACAACATTCGTAAGTTCACACGTGCAGGGTGTAAATTGAAAACAGGAAGACGTGGCATGGTGTGAATAAATGGGTTCGTCTTTTTTTAGGCAAATGCGCTCACTCCGGCATAAATGCACTCGGCCGCAGTCCACGTTGAGATGGAACCATCAATTTTCATTACGTACAAAAAAATATAATGGCGGTCTTTAATGCTTGCCGGAATGCCTAATGCCCTTCAAGTGAAAATGTCTCTCTCGAGCACAGGTGTGTGGCACGGACATGTGAGTGAGCCCCGCAAATTCTGGCAGCATGTACAGTACGTGGAACTTCTTTCGCACCGCGCGGGGAAAGGACAGCAAACTAAACACACACACACAAAAAGCAGTTCTAAAGAAATTAGTTTCCAACCTTCGATTTTAAAAGTGCATAGCTCCAGCGACTGCCTAATGTCGGAACGAAGAGCGTTCCGGACGGCCGCAGAAGCGCGCGTGAAAGCGCGCGATGCGGTGACAGCATTTGTTCCCGCTCGCGATCCTGGCATCTCTCTCCCTCACCCACATGATGCCATGTATCTCCACCATCTCAATATTACTCTCCCCCCCCCCCCGCCCAGTCTCGGCCACTAGCATCCCCCACACTGAGCCTCTCCCTGTAGGTCTGCCACTACTCTACGCATAACACATAATGGCTCTCTTTAATTGCACTTCTTTCTATTGCACAAACAAAGGAATCACTGTTCTCAATGCGTACCGCTAAGCATAATTACAGGTCCTTTCAACATCTTTTAAGGATCACACAGGCACCCTTCTTCCGCATTAATTACACCTTTGCCATAGGGCACAAAGGAGAGTTTGGCAGCCTCACCTTGTGTCACTTGCAAAGGTGCACGGGGGACCGTTGCGTGTTGCCATTATAGTAATGGGGCCGGGCCAGTTGTTCATCGCGCACGCGGAGAGGCGCGCTCCTCAGGGCAAAATTTCTCATTCTGGCAGGGATGTGGAGAAAACAAAGAATGGGAAGGAGGGCGCACTGGCTGGACTACCACATCGCCAAATACGAGGAGGTGGCAACCGCGAGCGTGCCAGTAGGCGAGGTGGACGTTCAGTTGACAAGGGAGAACGAGGCTATTGCTGCTGCTGCTGCTGCCACATCTGCCAAGGGGCAACTCAGAGAGTCGCCAGCACCCGCCTTTGCATTCTTGCAAATTGAAACCGGGGAAGCTGCTTTCACGGAGAATACGCGATCATTTCCATTTGTATACGCCGAGACAAATAAAACCATCGCGTGCATAAGAAATGCAATGCTGTGATCTACTTTGTGTTGTTATGACGTGGACTGCATTAACACTGCTGTTTGCCAAATGCGTAAATGCTCCCCCATATGCGTTTGAAGATTGCGCTGCACTGAAGATTATTCAGGGATGCTGCCGTGGTTCAATGGTTAGCACGCTGCACTGGAAATCCGGAGGTTACCCATTTTGATTCGATCTCCTGGTGTGGTAGCTGAATAATGGGCCGCTTTCTTAACCCCTTCACCCTGCCTCTGTCTACCCAGTAGCATAACAGGGAACGTCGCAGTCGATCTTCAAGATGCTGTGTAGTGGAGAAAATATGGGTATATCAAACTCTTCCGAGATGTCTCGCCAGTGTGGATGAGTAGGCCTATTACCATCGTATATGTATGTTGGACTTATTTCGCACCGTACATAGCCAACCGTGCTAATCGGAGGCCCTTCTGGGATCAGTCACTCAAGCAATTTATTGCAATTTTGCACCTTTAGCTTTTGCAGGTTTCACCTTGTGAACAACTGGTCGCAGGTAAGCCGTGACATTCTATTGTGTCGCTCGCTTTGTGAACGGGGTCATGTGGCCGCTTAACTGTACAAATACAGTGATGGAAAAAAGTATTTGATCCCTGCTGATTTTGTACGTTTGCCCACTGACAAATAAATGATCAGTGTATAATTTTAATGGTAGGTTTATTTGAACAGTGAGAGACAGAATAACAACAAAAAATCCAGAAAAACGCATGTCAAAAATGTTATAAATTGATTTGCATTTTAATGAGGGAAATAAGTATTTGACCCCCTCTCAATCAGAAAGATTTCTGGCTCCCAGGTGTCTTTTATACAGGTAACGAGCTGAGATTAGGAGCATACTCTTAAAGGGAGTGCTCCTAATCTCAGCTTGTTACCTGTATAAAAGACACCTGTCCACAGAAGCAATCAATCAATCAGATTCGAAACTCTCCACCATGGCCAAGACCAAAGAGCTCTCCAAGGATGTCAGAGACAAGATTGTAGACCTACACAAGGCTGGAATGGGCTACAAGACCATTGCCAAGCAGCTTGGTGAGAAGGTGACAACAGTTGGTGCGATTATTCGCAAATGGAAGAAACACAAAATAACTGTCAATCTCCCTCGGCCTGGGGCTCCATGCAAGATCTCACCTCGTGGAGTTGCAATGATCATGAGAACGGTGAGGAATCAGCCCAGAACTGCACGGGAGGATCTTGTCAATGATCTCAAGGCAGCTGGGACCATAGTCACCAAGAAAACAATTGGTAACACACTATGCCGTGAAGGACTGAAATCCTGCAGCGCCCGCAAGGTCCCCCTGCTCAAGAAAGCACATATACATGCCCGTCTGAAGTTTGCCAATGAACATCTGAATGATTCAGAGGATAACTGGGTGAAAGTGTTGTGGTCAGATGAGACCAAAATGAAGCTCTTTGGCATCAACTCAACTCGCCGTGTTTGGAGGAGGAGGTATGCTGCCTATGACCCCAAGAACACCATCCCCACCGTCAAACATGGAAGTGGAAGCATTATGCTTTGGGGGTGTTTTTCTGCTAAGGGGACAGGACAACTTCACCGCATCAAAGGGACGATGGACGGGGCCATGTACTGTCAAATATTGGATGAGATCCTCCTTCCCTCAGCCAGGGCATTGAAAATTGGTCGTGGATGGGTATTCCAGCATGACAATGACCCAAAACACACGACCAAGGCAACAAAGGAGTGGCTCAAGAAGAAGCACATTAAGGTCCTGGAGTGGCCTAGCCAGTCTCCAGACCATAATCCCATAGAAAATCTGTGGAGGGAGCTGAAGGTTTGATTTGCCAAACGTCAGCCTCGAAACCTTAATGACTTGGAGAAGATCTGCAAAGATGAGTGGGACAAAATCCCTCCTGAGATGTGTGCAAACCTGGTGGCCAACTACAAGAAACGTCTGACCTCTGTGATTGCCAACAAGGGTTTTGTCAGCAAGTACTAAGTCATGTCCTGCAGAGAGGTCAAATACTTATTTCCCTCATTAAAATGCAAATCAATTTATAACATTTTTGACATGTGTTTTTCTGGATTTTGTTGTTGTTACTCTGTCTCTCACTGTTCAAATAAACCTACCATTAAAATTATAGACTGATCATTTCTTTGTCAGTGGGCAAACGTACAAAATCAGCAGTGGATCAAATACTTTTTTCCCTCACTGTACCTGTAAGCCCTCGTTATATGCAATGGGATTCAATACAGTTTGATAAGCACAAAGTAACAATTTAATCAAGTGAATGAGGACAACAACTATCCATTATGGACACATGTTATGAAAAAAAATACGGTCCACAGCTGGCGCATCATGATTTGGAACCTGAAAATCAACTATCAGGGCGAACCGCGCCGGAATTAATATACGAATAACGTATGTTTCTCCTCACATATTAAGGCGGGAACGCTAAGAACACGCGCACTGTTCGCTTTATTTAAGTTTCAAAGCCGTTCGTCTCCAGCACTTATTTTCCCTTCCACCACCCCCCCCCCCTCCACTTTTGGTGTTTTATTAAGCGTGCGATGAATACAGCCGCTTGAGAGTTTGTACGTACGGTCTGTATTCACTCTCACATTTATTGTCTCGAATATGTCTCGATATTTAGTTTTTCCTACATGTCTCGATATTGTTTATTTTTTCAACGTTCATTCTTAAAGTCCGTCCCCCGTCCCCCATCCAGAAGATCGCTTTCATTTCTGTTGTTCAACTTTTCCCGTAATGTGCGTGGTGGTACAATGCGTCACTCTTATTTTGACCGGGAGACAAACGCGGCGTCCTTCGGTTCATTTCAATAATAAGAACAATAATTTCATTTTATATGGCATCATTCCTGCAATTGCATCGCACGACGCTGCAACATCAATTAGCCCATTACACAGATGATACAAACACAAAGCTCCACTAGTTAGCAAATCCAAAACTGAAAGATTAATACATGAATAACGATACAATAAATAAAAACATGAAAATGAGAGAATGTGTCACGCATTGGGCTGACATACACAGCTTAATGTCACCGACGCTGCAAAGCTACAGCTACGCCCGAACAACTTGTGTGGGTTTTGTCTCTGAGTAAGGTCATGAATAATAATAATAATAGTGATGCTTTATTTAACAAGGAAAAACCCCAACAGATGCACATCTCATTTGCAAGGGGTCTCCCTGGCAAGGTGACAGACACACTTTATTCCCAAGAAGCAAAATTCACAAAATCGGCTAAACACAGCTCGTTCATGTAGCCCATTAGAGGAGAATGATATTGTTCAATTGAAAGCGAAATATTGTTTTGAATGAATATTAACATTTACCACGCGTGGTTAGCTTTGATACACCCACACTTCACAGTGTGGATGTATTCAACAGTGACGCCCAGAACCACACTCACCACTGCTGTCACCCATCACAGGGGACTCAAACTCAGGTAACTGAGTTTGCAGTGCAGTGTAGCTAACCACCGCTTTCTCCCCTCCCCACCCCCACCCCTGCCTACGCTGTTGTAAAGCCACATTCATAACCCTACAGTTCATATAAGGCACATACGTCGGTTAAACACATCCATATGCTATGCACACATAAACAAAGGCAAATATAACAGAGCGTCGGGGGCACGTGCAGCTATCGGGCACCTATTAAGGCAGGCACAGCGCACGAGTGAGTGGTATGGCCAGAACCTGCCGCTGCTGCCTTTGTCTCCCTAGTTTTTGATGTTTACACATCGCATCGGGTATTCGTTTAAGGATGAGTCAACCTGAACGAGGCTCAAGCACACGATCTGATATCACTCGCCTCTGACATTGGCCGTGGCCAGAAGTCGAATTCAAATTCGGCGGATTTGCAGCGCGGTGCGGTGCTAATCGCTGTGCGGCCACCCCAAACACGCACACATACAACATAGATGGAGGTTTATCCAATGTAAAACCAATTATAGAGTGTACTAAAAAAAAACCAAGCATTTTAACTGGAACGAGACGCAAGCAAGCCCGAGCACTGCCATCCCTTCCCTCGACGAGACACATATTCTGATTGGCCCAGAGAGCTGGAATATGGTACAGAAGTGCGTTTTCGTGAAACAATACGGGAAAACCATTCCCGATAAGCGAGCCCCTCACTCGTCCTAAATAAATCATCGCCGGTTGCCGACGAGAGACCAGAGTTTCCACCCATGCGGAAGGGTAACCGCAGTACACGTACATCTTTCATCCGTTGCCATGGACATAGACGCAACTTTTTGGTTGTTTCTAAATTAAGAAATTAAACGACGTGAAGGGGTCTCAGACAGAACGTTCCTGGAAATTAGTCGTGTCCTTTTGAGGTAATCAGCTTCTATGCAAGTCCGATTCGTCGGCCCTGATTAGCCCCCTCCAATTGCGAAAATAAAATAAAAAAGCAACGCCTCATTTCAATGCGGTGATGGAACGTTTAATTGCTCCATCGGGGAGATGGAACAATTAAATCAGCTCGCGAGCAGGAGTTAGGTGGATTATAGCAACGCAATCGTGAAATATGGCAGTGGGTTTTTGTTATTGTGTACGCCTACATCCAGCAGTGCTTTGCCTGAGGCTGATAAGGACGACGAGTCGCCTGCGTGGCATGCACATTCATTGTGGCTAACACTGCCACGAGATAACGCCCTTCTTCGTTTAACCCTCTGCCGTCTCGCTTTGCTTGCTTGCTTGTTTGCTCAGGATGCTTCGCGTTGCTCTCTGAAGAGGCTCCAAGGACACGGGGCAGAAAGGTCCGGACGTCGGGGCCAGAGCGATACCGCTGCACGACCCCAACACGACAACCA